TGTCAATTTAAAGGAATAGACTAGAATAGAAAATGTCAGTGCATTTCATACAGAAATGGTAAATTTTGGGATGGAACCAGTTGTTTGATGGAACCTTTATACTTATTATAAATGCATATGTGTACAGGTAATTCTTTCAGGACATCAGTCCTGGATCAAAAAGTTTTGAAAGCCACTGCCACTGGTGACAGGGAACCACTAAAGAGCTGGGATTTTTGCATTTAGAAATATGTCGTGATTTCAGTAAGAACAGAGTAAAGGGCAAGGCCATTTCAAGGATAGCTTTAGAAATTCAGATGAAATATGGTAAAACAGTGATACTTGGATGGAGAAAAGGATATAGACTGGAGAGCTAAATGAACAATAGACTTGATTCATCTCTTCTTTCCATTCTCACTACTATTATTCTTGCTTGGCCCTTACCATTTCTTTTATAATCAACTAGAGGCCTGATGCATGAAATTCGTGCAAGGGGCTCAGCCCTCACAGCTGTGGTAGCTTGCCTTGACCCTTGCAGTACCACCTTCGTCTGGAAGTACGTCTGGAAGGTCATTTGGTTGTCTGGTCTAATTAGCATATTATGCTTTTATTATTATATATTCCTGAATTATCCAGCTAGCTATGTTCTTGACCATCTTAAATTCATCCTTCATTCTTCATTGAAAGATGCATCTGACAATCTCACTCTCCTGCATACACTTCACTGACCACTAGTGACCCAACCTTTTTTATGGAGTGTCAGTTCTCACCTCTCCTCCTTCAGCTCATTTTTTCACATCTCATGCAGAATATATATATATTAGGAGTCATGCTATGAAGTAGCCCCAGGCACCAATGAAAGGGGAATTTGCTTCCCCTGAATTACATTAATGTTATCACCAACCTGCTGACAAGTACCCTCTGAAAAAGGAGTAGCTGTGGAGGCCCCTGTTTATAATCAATTTAATTAGCCAAATAATTTCACTGGAAAACTTGCTTGACTATATCCAAATTGAAAGCTACAATGGCATCATATAAACTAAGTCAGTTTTCTGCAATAAATATGCCCCTTTGGAAACTGCAGAAGTTGTGTCCAACATCTAGTTGGATTTTAGGGCAAAGACAGCTAGGTTTCCACTCCCGGAAAACAAAAGGGGACGATGAGACTAGCAGGCACTGCCTTAAGTGTTCACAAATAAATACCTGAACACTCTAGAATTGTTCTGCATCAGTTGATATCATTATCAGCGAACCCATTTTAAATGAAGGAGGATATCTGTTTACTATTACAAAGGAGGGGGAAAAAACACACTTGGAAAATCCCCAGGAGCTGGCCCATCTCTTTAATCACATCTGGCTATTTTGCAGTCTGAGGGAGCATTGCTTTGAGCTATTTTTTTCTTTTTTTCAAATAAATTAATAAAATCAGAACCAACTGGATTTAGCAGAGAAACTAGATGAATATTTTGCATACGCTGTTCAGTAAGAGTAGCTATATGGTTGACAGGGGGCCTTATTTTTTCACCCTAGTGTCTAGAGAGTAGTTGCTTCTAGTCTGGCTCAGGAGACCAGGCTCCTATAGAGCCGGGATGAAGGAATTTATGATTTGTTCTGTGTAAAGAGGATGTCTCGCCCCAGTATGTGTTTGTATACAATGCTCTCCACAACGGTTGTCTAGCTCTGAACAAAGCCATGGCCCAGGTGACCAAGGAGCCAGGCTGTGACTTGTATCCGGGCATTCATTTTGCTCACACACACAGCTGCTACAGCTTTCTGAGAGCTACTGTGACTTGTCTCTGAGGGACTCAGAAGGCATTCACAGTCAGTTACTCCCTCCAGCAGAGCAATTCCCGGCCTGAAGGAACACAATAGGCCAGTTGTATCTTGAATTCCCTCAGGGGCAGAGAGCGGCTCCCTGCTCAGCAGTTTTGGAGGGCACCTGGCCCGACTAAGGCCAGAGGAGAGTTTAGTGAGTTTACTGACAACCAGCCTCTCTCAAGACCAAGTAAACATCATAAACCCTTCATTCATTGGCCTATAAAAGCCACTGCAGAGGCTACAAAGCCAGCAAACTGTGTGAAGGGGTAGCAGGGAAGGGACACACTGAAGCCAGGATGAGGACTAAGCCAAAATAGATAAAACATTGCAAGACAAAGCATGCAATTAATGCCAGCAACAGTGCTGTTTCAGTGTATGACTATTTTTGTAACACCTTTCTCCCTGATGCTTCTGGAGAAATGGAATATCTCTACGCTTCCCCTGTCACATTCTCTGTGGAAAGAAAGGGAATATCATCTTCCAATGTCCAAAAGGCTCAGAATGGGTTTATTCATTGAAGGTCATTCCAATCTTGGGCCTTTCTAATAAAAGATTGCTTTGCCACCAACACCTTGCCCCCAGTGGAATGCGGTAGAGAAACAAAACACATACTACTCTCTGAAGACTTGAGTTAAATGCATATTGCATTAAGTTTAAGTGAAATATAGATTATAATAATCAGAAATATGAGCTTAATGTCTAGACATATACTTCACAAGTAGATCCAGGCAAGCCATTTTTTTTTAATGTTTTGTTTGTTTTACCCCTGGGAGATATACTATAAGTAGAATATGGATATTTGTTTCAATTCATATTTGCAGCTTGACTCTTTCCCCTGAAATCCAAACTTGATGATCGAGTTGCCTACTGGATAGCTCACTTAGATGTCTTATAGCCTTATCACTGCTCAGGTCTTCACTGAACAGCCACCTTCTCAGGAAGAACTTCCTTTTTTATCCAATTAAAATTGCTCCCTCCTATCCCAAATGATAATGATCACTTGTCTCTGCTTTGTTTTCTTCCTTACATATTATAGTTTACTTATTTTATTAAATAAATAATGTATTCCCTTAATATATAAATGTATTCCCTTAGTTCTATGTCAAGCTCCATGTGGGATGTTTTGTTAAGTGTTGTATTGTAGATGCCTACATTTATGCCTGACACATAGTTGGTCTTCCAAAATGAATGGTGAATGGATGAATAAAAGTTAAAATGTTGAAAACATTGCCTTTGCTTTTAGTTAGAAGATATCAAATCATTTTATGTCTACTTCATAGAATTCTACTTCACACTTGTTCTACTTAATAGAATAACTTTATGACAGTGACCCATGAAGGTGTGGGATAAATTTGACTAGGGTTTTGTTTGGCCAATATTGTTTGTTTGCTTGGGGTTTTCATTTGTTTGTTTTGTTTTATAATTTAAATTTAAATGTCCTTAGCAAACTGGGACATTTGCTATAGTCCTCACCACTCCCTATTTTTATACCCTGGTTATAGGGCTTTCTGAACTTTCTGTTCCTGCCAACATCTGAAAGCAGTCAGTTTGACAATTATACCCTAGTAGAAATTAATTCAATGTTTGCTTTAACCAAGAGGTGTAGTTTTGACCACATAATTTACAGTGTGACTTGGGCAACTTACTAACATCTTTGGGTCTCTTCTGACTCTAAAACTGTAGTAAACAAATCAGTTGGTTGTTTGATACCTTTGCTCAAGGTCATAAGAACTATTTTGGGAATTCTTAGCTGAATACTAAATAAAATGACAATTCCTATGTGATTCTTAATCCCTCTGATTTAGAATATCCAACAAATCATTTAAATTTATCGATCATTTGTATACTTTCAAGTGGGATATAATGTACATAAATTCCTCTATTCTGATAAAACAACTCTATAACCTAATGAAGGTTAGATTCAGTCACATAAACATTATTCTATTAAAATGAATAATTATAAAATGATATTGTATAGGATTTACTTAAAATATAGTGGTACCAGCCAGCGACATGGCTCAGTAGTTGAGCATCAAACCTATAAACCAGGATGTCAGGGTTCAATTCCTGATCAGGGCACATGCCTGGGTTTCCAGCTGACATTCCAGTGTGAGGCATGCAGGAGGCAGCCAATCAATGATTCTCTCTCATCATTGAAGTTTCCATCTCTCCCTCTCCTTTCCTCTCTGAAATATATATATATATATATATATATATATATATATATATATATATATATAGTGGTCCATAAATATAAGATTTACATTTCAATATACCTAGACTCTTAATCAGTCACGTCATAGAAATTTGTTTGAAGATAAATCTGTTTAAAATTCTATTCATAGTAACCCCAAAGTTAAATCTATTTGACAAAAGAGACATTGAAAATAAGCCAAAATAAAAGATTGTTTTTAAAATACAATGTTAGCAACTAATCAAGAACAATTACCAAACATTAAGCTCAAAACCTTCTAAATAAAAATAATAAAAACATTTTCATCTCTAATAAAATTTAGCATTTTTTAGATTGATCAAAAACATAATTGATACAACAAAAAGAGATTTTACTGTAGTCTCAAACTTTTAGGTTTTCATTTAGACTTTTATTAATGAATCAAATAAGTACTTTGGCTACACTTATTAACATGCTTATGGGGCCCGACAGTGCAAAAAATACTGATGAAACCTTTCAAAACAGCAACTTCTTTTGTAATAAAAGTTTTTCAATTATGAAATATAGGTTAACTCATTTAGCAGCAATTATATCTTCTTACATACACAGTTAGTACTTTCTCTAGTTAGAATAGCTACTATAACTACTATAGTTCATAAAGAGATTTATGAACTCCCATTTTATCAGCATGATTATAACAGTGAGAGTCAAAGTAAAATACTCATCATCTATGAATACTATGCACCAGACAAAACACTTGGGTGTTTAATAACATCATAAAATCTTCACAACCACCAGAAAGAAAACACTATTTCCCCAGTCTTATAGATGAGGAGACAGACTCGGCGAGATGAAATAACCAGCTGAAAAACATACACTCTTGGAAAGTCATTGGTCAGCCTGATAGGGAAGTTGTTAGCCTGAATTCTCCTTTCATGAATACCCATGCACCACATTTCCCACTGAAGCCTGATTGAACATCAAAGGAGGTTAAGCACCTTTGCTCATTCTTCTCTTTTGCTCACTGTAGGTACGAAGATGGATCAAAAGTCCAATGGTCAGTGTGGACAAGCATCAGAGTCCCAGCCTGAAGTACACAGGCCCCTCCGTGGTGCACACCCCCCACGGGGAGCCCGACTTTGAGCCTTCCTTGTGTCAGATGTGCCTAGGAGACCATACTTTGCAAAGAGGGGTCCTCCCTCAGGAGAAGGAGTCATGTTCATGGGATACTCAACCCAGGTGTGAAGTAAGTTTATCTTTGCTCTGGATTCATTCTCCTAAAAGAATTCTAGGCCTTTGTTTTGCGCTTTTTTGGGGGGGTTTGGGTAGGGGGGTGTTGTAGTTGTTATTGTTGTTTGTATCTATGCTGTAGTATGCCAAAAGAAAAAAAAAATAAAGTTACATTCAGCTTCAGAAAATATAGAATTTGGATTTTTCTCCCCCATTGTACTAATTTTTTTAATATGTTGTATTTTTTTAGAGCAGTTTTAGGTTCACAGCAAAATAAAGAAGACGGAGATTTCCTGTACATCTCTGCTTCCATACATACAAAAGCTCCCCCTCTATTAACAACCCCCACCAGAGTGGTGTATTTGTTACAATTGATGAACCATTAGCACTTCTGTTTACATCATCACTCAAAGCCTTTAGTTTGCACTAGAGTTCACTTTTAGCGCTGTATGTTCTCTGGTTTTGAACTAATTTATAATGGCATGTATCTATTATGAAAGTATCAGAGTATAGTTTCACTACCCTAAAAATCCTCTGTGCTCCACCTACTTAGCCCTCTCTCTCCAAAACTCCTGGAAATAACTGATTCTTTTTATTGTTTTCATAGTTTTGCCTTTTCCAATTGCCATCTAGTTGGAATCTATCGTATCTGGTACTATTTTATGTCATTACAAGATACAGCAATGTTTTGGTCCATTAAAAAGTCTCATTAGTTGTTTGCTCACACAGAGACTAATGCTTGTATGGTATGAGAAATATATCAACAGTCATCTACAGGTGTGTAGCTTCTATGGAAATATTTAGCTCAAAATAATTTGACCCATAACAAAGCACTATATCATATGCTCATGTTTTCATATATACTCATATCCTTACTAAAATTTATTTTACTCTGCTACTCCAGGAATTTTTTTTGTCTTAATATTGCTAATCCAAGAATGTCAGATTACTGAGTTAACTTGAAAGTTCTAAAATTTTGAAAATTTACAGTTATATTTTTAACTTGTAACTCAGTCTCAAATTTATTTTGACTTTTTAAATTATTATATTAAGTGTTTATTTTATGTTATTCCAACCTTATTGACATAAAAACACAATAATAAGACAAAACATGTTATTAGAAAGTAGAATTAATTATAAGTGATCTTCCAATATATAATTTTAAATCAGTGCATCATAAGATGATAAATATTAATAGCTTTGTCTCTTTTTTAAAAATGGTGTTTTCCAGAGATAAATCCTGTTAGCTGCTAAACAAACAAACAAGAAAGATCATAAACTCTGGAGTCTGAGTTTCTTTTGACCCTGAGATATGCACTGTCTCAGAAACTGTTTTGTTTTGTTGTTGGTTTTTTTTTCTGAAAAAGTGACATCTGCCTATTTATTTTAGGGTTATTGGAAAGATCAAATGAAATAATGTATATGAAATGGTTCATAATCTATAAAGTGCCACACTATTATAAACCATTAGTACCAAGTTTGCTGATGTATATATTAGCTAAGTCTGTGAATCTATAACACTAAATTAGACTTCCACAACTAAATGAGCTTTTTGCTGATGGATGAGCATTTGTCATATGCATTTATTGTTCAGCTATTCTCTGGCTTAATGCCAGGTTGGCCATAAAAGTAAAAAAGTAGATTCTAAGGGCAAGGATTGCCAAACTTTTTCGGTAAAGGGCCAGACAGTATATATTGTAGGCTTTGCAGGCCATACAGTCTCTGTCACTTACATTCAGCTCTATTCTTGTAGGAAAAGCAGCCATAGGTAATATACAAATGAATGGGCCTGGTTGTGTTTAATAGAACTTTTATTTACAAAAACATGTGCCTAGCCCACCAGCAATAGTTTGCAGACTCTTAGACCCTTAGAGTTGAAAGACTTTTTAGATTCTAAAGAAATATTCATGACAAATGCAGAGAGAGGTGTCTGCAGATCATACAAAGCAGAAATGCCTAGGATTAAATGTTTACTTACGGGCTTACTACACGCTCCCTTTGTTAGAGGCTGGGAATAAATGAATGAATAAATGGAATTCCACACAAGAGGAAACAATAAACAAAGAGCTGGAAAGAATTTAAAGCAACACTGTGATTCATTCTTTTACTTTATCTGGGATTACAGGTGAATCATTCTCCAATTTACAATGGATTACCTGGTTCTGGCTTTGCTGGACATTTTTTTTTTTTCTTAAAGTCACCACAAATCTAGAAGACAGTTCTATTCCAACAGTTTGAAAACGAATCTATATTTTGTGTGAGTGTAGGGACTAACCCACGAAATATTTCCTTAAGAAGGCACCTCTCCCCTTTTAGGAAGTGGAGTTGTGTGATGAGATGATGGAGAGGCTGTTAGATGCGGAGGCCTGATAATAAGAACGACAACCTGTTCCCTTGACAACTCCTGATGTGGATTATTTTAAGAAAGTCATTAATTCATCCTTCCCTCTCAATGTTCCCTCCTATGAAAACATATTATTCATGCTGCCATCAAGTTTTTTCTAGTAGGGACTTTTTTGACAATTTCAGATGAGATGGGATTTTTAAAATCTCTTGTAATGTAAACATATTTGTAAATAGTGCTAGACTCAGGCAACATCCTGGGGCCAGCTCAACCTCAAGGTCAATATATGAACTTGGAAAAGTCACATATCTTTCAAATATCAATGATAGGCCTAACCTAATTAACTTTTTAAATCTGAAATACTGCAGTTTGAATTTGATAACCTTAAGTGACAATGAACTTTGTATTGAATGTGTCAAGATAATACATAGAAGATGAAATGAGAATAATTTAAATAATGAAGAAAACAAATAAAGTGCTAGTCTTTTATGAGTAATTGTGGAATCTTTTTTCCTGACTTTATAAATAGTACATTCTAAATGCTATCTTTCATGGCCAACAATCTCTGAATTACATTGCAGTTAGCTTGTGCCAGGACTTGCCAATAATCTAGTTAGTTGCCTTTAAACATGTTTCACCTATGGGAGAAAGTAGGATACATGTATTGCCAATGTATTACCCAAAAGAATAGTGATATTGCAATGTTACTAGTTGTTACTAACGAGAACTATTTGTGAATTAAGCAGACCTTTCTGGAAATGAAACTGAAAATGCATGCTAGTGGAATTCAAGTTGTAGCATTTCAGTCTAAAATCAACATTTAGGCCATAAAGAGATGGAAACCAAACTAGTTTTTAATGGGTGCATGCCAACTACACACATTCACAACTGTTCTGCACCATATCTCTCACAGCACTTACAATAACCAAGTTGGAAGGAAAGGAAAGGAATGTTTTGGAGTAGGAGCAGGGAAGGAAATCTGTTAGGCAAAGCATAGGATTAGATCAAAGTGTCAGCCTGAACATACAATGTCGTCTCTCCTTCCTGCCTTAAATGACAAAAAATACACCACACACACACATACACACACACACAACCGTATTTTAACTTATAATAATGCTAGAAGAAAAAGTATGCTCTTGTATGGATAAGGAATAATTAAGACTTTTGGTAGGATTATGAGATTGATAAAGAAACCACAGTCCAAAAATTATCACATCAAGGAACTGCTACAGGAGATGGGGACATTGCAAGCTTATGTATTCAAAAGGACCTTGAAGTTGGAAAATAAAGATGTTACTGGGGAGGCCTAATTAAAAGGAAAGTAGTTTTAGCAATATAAATTTCAGACAATGTGCTATGAAAGACAAAACATTTTTTAAAGGAACAAAGAGGAATATTTCACATTTATAAAAGATATCTGTTAAGAAGATAAAGCACTCACAAACCTTTATGCACTTAACAGCATAACATGGAAATCTTTAAAGCAGCAGCTTATAGAAATACAAAGAGAAATTGGCAAATTCATATCACAGAGGGTCGTTTTTTATCATAATTCTCCCAGAAAGTGTCAGTTTAAAACTGAAAATATGTAAGGGTAGAGGGTTTTAATAAAACAATTGACTAACTATGATTTATGTAGAGATTTGTTTCTAATAAATAAAGAATACACATTACTTTAAGCATGCATGGAACAGTTACAAAAACTGACCAAGAATTAGATCACAAAGAATATCTCATCAAATTCCAAAATACAGAAATCACACAGACCAAACACACTAGCTGATTACAATTTGATAAAATTAGAAACTAACAACAATATAAGGGCCAACCATCATCCCCAGACGATTCATCCACCTGGAATCCACGAACACCCTTCCTGATAACTCCAGACTTACATAGAAAATAAAAGAGGAGTTTAAAAACTAATTTAAGTGCTTACATCACCACCAGGAAAATGCAAAATGAAACAATGAAATCTCACTTGTTTTTAATCCATCAGATTGTCAAAGGTTGTATTGGTAAGTTTGGGCCAAAACACTGTTAGTGAAGAAGTTTTTTTGGCAATGTTGCTCTATTTAAAATTTTCAAATTTTAAAAACTAATTTAAGTGCTTACATCACCACCAGGAAAATGCAAAATGAAACAATGAAATCCCACTTGTTTTTAATCCATCAGATTGTCAAAGGTTGTATTGGTAAAAGTTTGGGCCAAAACACTGTTGGTGAAGAAGTTTTTTTGGCAATGTTCCTCTATTTAAAATTTTCAAATCTCATACCTTGAAATTTAGCAAATCTAGGTCTCTGTACTTATTTATGTGATAATGAATATGGATACACTGATATCCATTGCAATATTGGAAATGCAAAAAATATAAAAGGTAACATTCATGGGTAACAAAACTGTAACTCATAGGGAATTATTAATTATGGCATATTCATATATGAAATACTATGGAATTATGGCATATTCATACTAATTCATACTATATGGTTAACAAAATCGTAAACTCATAGGGGATTTTTAACTATGATATATTCATATGATGGAATCTCATTAAAAATTATATCCTGCCCTCGCTGATTTGAATAGAGTATTGGCCTATGGACTGAAGGATCCAGGGTTTGATTCTAGTCAAGGGCACATGCCCAGGTTGTGGGTTGCATCCCCAG